AGCCTCTGGTGAGTGATCGCGCCGCCCTCGCCCCCTCCATCCGCTCGGAAGTTCCCCGGCGCCCTCCCTCCACCTCCAGTGTTGACAAACTTGGGCCAAGAGAGAGAGAGAGAGGGAGCCAGGGAAGGGGCCGAGGGGGCGGCCTCCCCGGCTGCGCCCCCGCTGCGCTCGGCCTCTCCCGCTGTCTCCGCGCGCTCGGGAGTTTTTGGCCCACGCGCGCGCGCGCGCGAGAAAGAGAGGCTAGAGCGTCGGGCGGTGGCCCGGGACACGGCGTGACAGCCCAGCCATCCCCCCCCAAGGAGGTGGCTTGCGCGTAACAAAGGAAATCCCGCTGTCCCGGGCCTCTCTTGTTCCCATCTGTAAAATGAGGCCGTGGCACGGGGACCGACGGGCGCGCGCCTGCCGTCCTGCCGTGAAGTTTCTAGGAGTCTCGTGCGGATACAAAGTCTCCAGCCAGCTCTCCTCGGCGACTCCCACCCGTGCCCCGGCCGCCGGTCTGATCTTTGGAGGTTTCCGGAGGTTTCCGCCCGCGCGCTCCTCGGTGTCCTGGGCATCGGAGAGGAGGGAGGGCTGGGAAGTGGGTGGGAGCGCAGGGCTTTAGGTGGGGCCCAGGAGAGGTTTCCGAGCCCCGGGGAAGGCGTTGGAGAAGCGCTTCCATCCTCCTGCAGCCGCCTTCCGCCCCCGACTCCTTCCGCGGCCTTGGCCTGCTGGTGTATCTGCCTCGGTCCCTCCTCCCCCGCCCAGCGGGCCTCCCATCACCAGCTGGGGCCTCCGGCAGGCGCGTCCTGGGGATGCCCCAGCCCCTTCCCCGTGGGGCCACGCAGCCCGCCTCCAGGACTGGGAAAAGGGGGGGGGGGTGCGTGGGTATCTCACAGAAACAAGATTGACTGAAGCTCTGCCATCCGTGACAGTCTGACCCCAGGCCTTGGAGTGAAGCCCTTTAGGGCACTCCAGGCGCCCACGCTCTTGGGAGCTGGTGGCTGTCCTCAGCAACCCAGAGAGACAGCTGGGTCCTGTCCCTTTTCCATCCCTCTTCAGCTCCCACTGTCTGAGCCCTGGCAAAATGTCCCTGGGGAATCTACCAAAAGGGCAGGACCCTGGAGTCTTAAAGGTGGTTGAGTAGCGGGGAGATCTGACTTTTCCTGATAAGGCGAAGCCCCCAGGCTGCTGTGCTGCAGGTGGGCCAGTCTAAGGCCCTCTGCGATAGGGGGACGTCTTTCTCGGTCCCCTTTTCCCACTGGACCACTTTGCCCTGGCGCCACGTGGGACGGGACACCTTTGGGAGGGAGAGGAAGAGCAGTTGGACCTTGTTGGGGCAGGAGCCCATGACTCCGGCCGTTCCCAAGCCTATGTCTGTGGCCCAGCCTGCCGCCTGCCAGGTCAGGGGAGGGGATTAACCTGCTATTTAAAGCCAGTGACTAATAGCTGTTGGGAGCCGCCTAAGCTCCGGAGGCCGGTGCTGAAGTGGAGTTCTGAGGACTCCTTTGCTCATTAACGGTATTCCCTTCCCTGGAGCCCAGGCCCGGCTCCCGGGACTTTGGGGATTCAGGAGGGTCCTCCGGCCTGGCATGGCGAGATTGTGGGGAGGAAGAAAGATTTCTCATGTCTTACTCCAAACAGGTGTGGGGTCTGGGGCAGCCCGGTTCACCAGAGCCAAGGGACTCTGCAATAGTGCCCATCGGTCACCCGGGCAGGTCCCCACCCAGAAGCTGCAATGTTCTCTCCAGTCCTCTGCCCACCTCTGAAGTTCTTGCCCAGTGTTTCTCAAATCCACCTGTACTCCTCACCCCTTCTGACTTCCTCTCTCTCCCTCTATTTTTTAAAAATATACTTTTATTGATTTCAGAGAGAGGAAGGGAGAGAGAGAGAGAGAGAAACATCAATGATGAGTCATTGATCCGCTGCCTCCTGCACGCCCCCTGCTGGGGATCGAGGAGCCTGCACCCCGGGCCTGTGCCCTGACCAGGAATCGAACCTCCATCTCCTGGATCCTAGGTTGATGCTCAACCGCTGAGTCATGCTGGCTGGGCTCCAGTGGCTTCTTGAGGCCCGGACTATGCCCGATTGCTCTGTCTTGGGGGCCTAGCACATACGTACGTGGTAGTTGGCCCCCCAGATATTTACTGTGCGGACGAACTGTTCCTGAATCAGAGTTGCCGCTGCAGGTGACTTCTGTGACTCCAGCGAGTGCTTGAACGGTGGGACCTGCTTGATGAGCCAGGATGACCTCCCCTTCTATTGCCTCTGCCCCGAAGGCTTTACGGGCCTCATTTGCAACGAGACTGAGAAAGGTACCTGCACTGGGCTGCGCCTGCTTCCCTACACCTAGCTGCCGCTTGCAGGGCAGGCCGCTGGGGTGAGCTAGTGTGTGCTGAGGTGGGCAGTGTCCCCAGCACCTGTCTGTTGTCAGCCAGCATTTCCCTGGAAACCCATGAGCCGCTTGAAAAACTGGTGCTTCCTTTATTTGGGCTGATCCACCTACACATGACCCTCCTTGGAGCCAGGCTGGCCCAGGCTCCTTCAGACAGAGTGGGGAGGGAGAGAGGGAGGGAGGCGATGGGGGAGGTAGGCAGGCAGTGGGCTGAGTTTGGGCAGAGCGTCCTTTTGGGCTAGGTCCAACTGCTGCTGTCTCTCTGTCTCCAGCTCCTTCCTGATCACCTGCCCAGGTGATCTTACCTGCCTCCTCCTACCCAGGTCCCTGTTTCCCAAACCCCTGCCACAATGATGCCAATTGCCAGGTGATCGATGACTCCCACCGTGGTGATGTCTTCACACAGTACATCTGCCAGTGCCCTCAAGGCTACCAGGGCACCCACTGTGAGACCAGTGAGTATCTGGGGGGGCTGCTCCAGCAGCAGTGGGGGAACAGACCCTGAGCCACAGTCCTGCAGCCCGGGCCATGCCTGGCCTGAATATTCCCTGTGTCCGGGCCTCCTCTGAGTAGACGCAGGCTGGGACAGAGCCTCAGCTAGGCCAGGGGCGGGCGCGGATTTTCTTTCCTCCTTCCTGGCCTCTTCCCGCCGGAGCTCCTCCCACCAAGCCAGGTGTGAAAAGTCCACACCTGGGCCCAGGGATGGTGCT